GGGTGTGAAGTGGAGGGGGTCATTGGGAAGAAAAAAAACACACACAAGTGATATCTGTAATACGTTTCAACAATAAAGAAAAGAAATTGAAAACTGTATATATTAACTATAATGGAGGAGCCCCAAGCCAAAAAACAAAAATAAAAAAAATCAAGCAAAGAAACTTTTATCAGGACTATGCCATCAGGGATTAAGTCTCTGCAGAAATACTTCTATTTCTTTTACTACTGTCAAATACTACACAGCCGTTTCTCAAAAGAGGCAGCTGGATTCCAAATCCTGATCTCTTACATTTTAACCTCAAAAGAAACTTCACTTCAAGAAATGAACTGCCCGACTGATACGGTTGCGTGTCGACCTATGAACCAGAAGGTCATGGTATGATTTCTGGTCAGGGCATATGCCCGGGTTGCGGGCTCAATCCCCAGTAAGGGGCATGCAGGAGGCAGAGGGCTACCAACAGAAAGAAAACACTGAGAAAAATTAGAGAGAATATTCACCTCCTTATCTGCCATTATTATTGTTACTTCATCCCGGGTCTCTCTGCTACCTGGAGAGGCTTCTCTTTCAACATCAAAAGTTTCTGGGGAACTTAGCTGTGTCTCTGTAATTGAAAAAATATAAATCTCATTAATTTTCATTTTGTATTTTTAGTTAAAAAAAACAAACATCTATTTCCCCTAAAGAGTATGATAAAACTGAGGTGAGCAATTTGATTGATTCTTCATAAAGCTTTACTGAGGCATAATATACATACAATAGAATTCAGCAATTTTCTGTACAGTAAAATCTCAATATAACTGGCTAATTAGGGAGAGGAGGTGTCCATTAAAGCTGAAAGTCCATTATATAATAAAGCAGGTTTTCCGAAAACATATGTTAAAAAAATTGACAAATTAGTTTACCTGTTTATATTTATGTAGACATGTTTGTGTAATTAAAATTAAGTATGCATAAAAATTTAATTTCATTGAAAAGTTTTCTATATGTATTACTGAAATTTTATATTTATAGGTATAGTAGGTACAGTAAATGTGTGCATTCACCAGTCACCGCATGTAAACAAATGCACACGACTGGGGCATGGTTTAGCGCACACCAGAACATTGGCATACATTAAACCTGTTGTGCCGAAACCGGTTTGGCTCAGTGGATAGAGCGTCAGCCTGCAGACTGAAAGGTCCCAGGTTCGATTCTGGTCAAGGGCATGTACCTGGGTTGCGGGCACATCCCCAGTGGGGAGTGTGCAGGAGGCAGCTGGTCGCTGTTTCTCTCTCATTGACGTTTCTAACTCTCTATCTCTCTCCTTTCCTCTCTGTAAAAACTCAATAAAATATATTTTTAAAAAAAAACTGTTGCAGAAAGTCACGCCATTCAACAACAGAACCAATTACCACTGGCAATGCTGTGTGATCACACCCTAATCATTTACCAAACATTGTTTACAATTGGTGACTCTTGGATTTAAATATATAGACTATAGTTGTAAATATGTAATATTTAACTATGTCAGCGAGAAGTTACTAGTGTTTTTCCCAACATGTGGCCTATTGCTATAATTTGTTAAAAAATAAAAATGAATTAACAACAAAAAAGATAACCTGTTAATTTAATTACAAGCAAATTTTAGTTAAAAGCATTTTAAAATTAACAGGGTGTTAATTTTCACATATGACATATGGACCAGAAAATTTGTCCATTAAATCCGAAGTCTGTTAAATCAAGGTCCAAAAAATGGTCTACTGTATATAATTTGATGAGTTTTGACAAATATATACAATTTATACTACCAGTTATTTCTTTAAAGGAATGAGCAAAAAGCCCGGCCAGCATAGCTCAGTGGTTAAGTGTTGACCTGTGAACCAGGAGGTCACGGTTTGATTCCCAGTCAGGACACATGCCAGGGTTTCAGGCTCAATCCCCAGCGTGGGGCCTGTGGGAGGCAACCGATCAATGATTCTCTCTCATCACTGAAGTTTCTGTCTCTCCCTCTCCCTTTCTCTATGAAATCAATAAAAATATATATTTAAATAAATAAATAAAATAAAACCTGCCCTGGATGTTTTTGCTCAATGGTTAGAGCATCAGTCCAGTACAGAAGGGTCTCAGGTTCAATTCCTGGTCAAGGCATGTACCTCGGTTGCAGGTTCAATTCCTGACCCCCATTTGGGAGGCAACCAATCAATGTGTCCCTCTTACATCCATGGTTTTCTCTCTTTCTCTCTCTCACCCCCTCCACTCTCTCTAAAAAAATTAATGGAAAAAATTCCTTGGGAGGGTGACTCTTGGATTTAAATATATAGACTATAGTTGTAAATATGTAATATTTAACTATGTCAGCGAGAAGTTACTAGTGTTTTTCCCAACATGTGGCCTATTGCTATAATTTGTTAAAAAATAAAAATGAATTAACAACAAAAAAGATAACCTGTTAATTTAATTACAAGCAAATTTTAGTTAAAAGCATTTTAAAATTAACAGGGTGTTAATTTTCACATATGACATATGGACCAGAAAATTTGTCCATTAAATCCGAAGTCTGTTAAATCAAGGTCCAAAAAATGGTCTACTGTATATAATTTGATGAGTTTTGACAAATATATACAATTTATACATATACCAGTTATACCATGTAATTACTACCACAATCAAGACATATAAAACCTGCTCTGGCCGGCCAGCATGGCCATTGTGAGCCTGGCGGTCACTGTCCTATTCCTGGTGAAAGAACAAGCCCAAGCCCCTTGCTCAATCGCCAGTGGGGAACAAGGAGGTGGCAGCCGATCAGTGATTCTCTCTCATCATTCATGCTTTTGTTTCTCTCTCCCTCTCCCTTGCTCTATGAAATCAATAAAAATATATATTTAAATAAATAAATAAAATAAAACCTGCCCTGGATGTTTTTGCTCAATGGTTAGAGCATCAGTCCAGTACAGAAGGGTCTCAGGTTCAATTCCTGGTCAAGGCATGTACCTCGGTTGCAGGTTCAATTCCTGACCCCCATTTGGGAGGCAACCAATCAATGTGTCCCTCTTACATCCATGGTTTTCTCTCTTTCTCTCTCTCACCCCCTCCACTCTCTCTAAAAAAATTAATGGAAAAAATGTCCTTGGGAGAGGATTAAAATATATATTAAAAAATCTTTCTAACACCCCAAAAAGTTCTCCCTTACTAACACCCCAAAAGTGTGCCCCTTTGTACTCAATCCCCTCCTACTTGGCTCCTTGCAATGACCAGTCTACTTTGTGTTGCTATAGTTTTGCTTCTTCTAGAATGTTATACAGTGTGTTGTCTTTGTGTCTGACCTCTTTTATTTAGTATAGTATTCTACTGTATGGATATTTCAGTTTGTTTATCCATTCATCAATTAATCCATTTGTCTTCTTTTCAGCATTCTTTGCTTTTAAAGTATATTTATTTTGACAGAAAACAAAAACCTGCCAATATAAGTTTTGAAGTAAAAGGAATTATTAGAGATGACAAAAATTAGGGAACAGAAATAGAAAATACATTCTCAAGAAAGATATGCCTTTTATTTTTTCTTTATTTTTTCAATTTTAATTGACATACAATATTATATGTTTCAGATGTACCCCCCAGTGATTAGACATTAAAAAACTATCCAGAAAAATCTCATGCTCACCTAACACCATATATAGTTAATAGAATATTATTTACTAGGTGTATCGGTTAATAATGAGGATTTTTTTCAATAGGTGGAGTTACACATATGTTGATATATATGCAATTTGATATGTATGCTATTTTGTTGTATTGACATCTAGCTTCAAAACTTCATATGTTGTTTGCCAGTCTGTTTGAGCTTCTCTGCCTCTGTATCTATTTTTGTTCATCAGTTTATAATGTTCTTTATTATCCATAAATGACTGACAGTGGGAAGGCTGGGGAGGGTTGGGGGGCAGAGGGAGGTAAGAGATCAACCGAAGGACTTGTATGCATGCATATAAGCATAACCAATGGACGCAAGACACTGGGAGTGGGGTGAGGGTATGTGCCTGGAGGGTAGTGGAGGATGGGGGAAGGTCAACTGGGGAAAAAAGGGAGACATATGTACTACTATTTGTAATACTTTAAATAAAAAAAAAGAAAATAAACTTCATATGTCAAATTTTCTGAAGGTGTTAACATCATAGATATTTTTACACTTAAAAATATCTAATTTTGTGCCAAAAAAGGAGCACTTGTGGGAAGTTTTAATTCATTACTTTATTTTGAAGAAAAGTGCTGCTGAATACTTCAGGAAGCTTATAGTGAACATGATTTATTTCAGTAT